GGTGTTTTGTGGGGGGGAGGGGGGTGTCTGAGCCCCAGTGTGGGGAGGGGGAGAGCGTGGGGACAAGGAGTTGGGGGGAGAAGGGGACAGGGAGGTCGCACGTGGGGGGGAGAGCTGGAGGTGACATTTGGGGGGAAGAATTGGGGACAAATAGGTGACATTTGGGGACGTGGGAGAAGCGGTGTGGGGACGTAGCAGCTGGTGGTGCCGAGCACGGAGGACACGGGCCGGTGGCACCACCGGGGGCATTTTTGGGGCAGAAAACCTCTATTTGACGTTAGTGGGTTAAAAAAAAAATCAACTTGTTGGTGACATCGTTAAGGTTTAGGCTCTTCTTTTCCTGTTGTGCTTCCAAATCACCCCAAAAAGGGGGTTCCATCCTGAAGATGTGAGGGCGGCCCGATTAATCTTTAATTTTACACTCAAATCCTCCTGGTTTTGGCCCCAGGTTTGGTGGGGGTTTTTGGCCCCAGGTTTGGTGGGGGTTTTTGGCCCCAGGTTTGGTGGGGGTTTTTGGCCCCAGGTTTGGTGGGGGTTTTTGGCCCCAGGTTTGGTGGGGGTTTTTGGGCCCAGGTTTGGTGGGGGTTTGGCCCGATTTGGTGGCATTTTGGCCGGTTTTGGCCCGACTTGGTGGGGTTTTGGCCCAATTTGATGGGTTTTTGACCCAATTTGATGGGTTTTTGTCCTGAAGGCCGAGGCGGGGAGATGCTCTGCACGGCGGTGGTGATGGCGGGGAGCCTGGCGCTGACGACGGCGGTGGTGGCTCACGCTTATTACCTCAAGCACCAATTCTATCCCACTGTGGTTTATCTCACCAAATCCAGCCCCAGCATGGCCGTAAGTTCATTAATTAGCGGCGGGTAATTAATTTGCTTGGTTGGAGGAAGGGGGGAAGGAGGAGGTGGGGTGGGAAAGGAGCCTCCTCCGGGGGCGGGTGGGAGCTCTGGTTGTGACCCACTTCTGCTTTCGCCTCGTTTTCCGTTTAACGGCCCCAAAAACGCCGGGGACCCCCCCGGGGAGAGCGAGTGGCTGCACCAGGAGAGGGGGGAAGGTGGGAAGACGCCGCTGCTTCCTCTTCCTGCCTGTGAGGGCAACCCCAAAACGGGGTTGGGAGCCAAGCTGGGACCCCATCTCTGCCTCCTCCGTCCCCTGGGACCCCAAATTACACGGGCCGGTGGCACCACCGGGGGCATTTTTGGGGCAGAAAACCTCTATTTGACGTTAGTGGGTTAAAAAAAAAATCAACTTGTTGGTGACATCGTTAAGGTTTAGGCTCTTCTTTTCCTGTTGTGCTTCCAAATCACCCCAAAAAGGGGGTTCCATCCTGAAGATGTGAGGGCGGCCCGATTAATCTTTAATTTTACACTCAAATCCTCCTGGTTTTGGCCCCAGGTTTGGTGGGGGTTTTTGGCCCCAGGTTTGGTGGGGGTTTTTGGCCCCAGGTTTGGTGGGGGTTTTTGGCCCCAGGTTTGGTGGGGGTTTTTGGCCCCAGGTTTGGTGGGGGTTTTTGGCCCCAGGTTTGGTGGGGGTTTTTGGGCCCAGGTTTGGTGGGGGTTTGGCCCGATTTGGTGGCATTTTGGCCGGTTTTGGCCCGACTTGGTGGGGTTTTGGCCCAATTTGATGGGTTTTTGACCCAATTTGATGGGTTTTTGTCCTGAAGGCCGAGGCGGGGAGATGCTCTGCACGGCGGTGGTGATGGCGGGGAGCCTGGCGCTGACGACGGCGGTGGTGGCTCACGCTTATTACCTCAAGCACCAATTCTATCCCACTGTGGTTTATCTCACCAAATCCAGCCCCAGCATGGCCGTAAGTTCATTAATTAGCGGCGGGTAATTAATTTGCTTGGTTGGAGGAAGGGGGGAAGGAGGAGGTGGGGTGGGAAAGGAGCCTCCTCCGGGGGCGGGTGGGAGCTCTGGTTGTGACCCACTTCTGCTTTCGCCTCGTTTTCCGTTTAACGGCCCCAAAAACGCCGGGGACCCCCCCGGGGAGAGCGAGTGGCTGCACCAGGAGAGGGGGGAAGGTGGGAAGACGCCGCTGCTTCCTCTTCCTGCCTGTGAGGGCAACCCCAAAACGGGGTTGGGAGCCAAGCTGGGACCCCATCTCTGCCTCCTCCGTCCCCTGGGACCCCAAATTTGCAGCCCCAAACCCCTCCTTCTGCATCCGCTCGGCACCGAAACGTGTTTTTGGCTCCTTCCCTTCCTCATTTTTTTTTCCTCCTCCCCGGCAGGTTCTCTACATCCAGGCTTTCGTGTTGGTTTTTCTCCTGGGGAAATTTATGGGCAAGGTGTTTTTCGGGCAACTGCGGGCGGCGGAGATGGAGGTGAGTGAGGAAGGGTTTAAATTGGGCACCAGGGACGGGCAGAGCTGGTACTGGGGGGGGTCTGAAAGGATGTGGGGGATACTGAGGGATTTGGGGGGGATTTTGTACTTCGAGAGGTGGCTCACGCTTATTACCTCAAGCACCAATTCTATCCCACTGTGGTTTATCTCACCAAATCCAGCCCCAGCATGGCCGTAAGTTCATTAATTAGCGGCGGGTAATTAATTTGCTTGGTTGGAGGAAGGGGGGAAGGAGGAGGTGGGGTGGGAAAGGAGCCTCCTCCGGGGGCGGGTGGGAGCTCTGGTTGTGACCCACTTCTGCTTTCGCCTCGTTTTCCGTTTAACGGCCCCAAAAACGCCGGGGACCCCCCCGGGGAGAGCGAGTGGCTGCACCAGGAGAGGGGGGAAGGTGGGAAGACGCCGCTGCTTCCTCTTCCTGCCTGTGAGGGCAACCCCAAAACGGGGTTGGGAGCCAAGCTGGGACCCCATCTCTGCCTCCTCCGTCCCCTGGGACCCCAAATTTGCAGCCCCAAACCCCTCCTTCTGCATCCGCTCGGCACCGAAACGTGTTTTTGGCTCCTTCCCTTCCTCATTTTTTTTTCCTCCTCCCCGGCAGGTTCTCTACATCCAGGCTTTCGTGTTGGTTTTTCTCCTGGGGAAATTTATGGGCAAGGTGTTTTTCGGGCAACTGCGGGCGGCGGAGATGGAGGTGAGTGAGGAAGGGTTTAAATTGGGCACCAGGGACGGGCAGAGCTGGTACTGGGGGGGGGCTGAAAGGATGTGGGTGATACAGAGGGCTTTGTGTGGGGGATGCTGAGGGATTTGGGGGTGATTTTGTACTTCGAGAGGCTTTTGGTGCCATTTTGGGGGACATTTTGCACCCTTTTGGGGGGCATTTTGCACCCTGAGAGGCCTTTGGTGCCATTCTGGGGGGAAATTTTGGAGCCGGAGAGGCCTTGGGACCCGTTTTGGGGGGGGATTTTGGAGCCTGAAAGGCCTTTAGTGGCATTTTGGTGGGGAATTTTGTACCCTGAGAAGCCTTAGGACCCATTTCTGGGGGGGAGACTTTGAATCCTAAGAGGCCTTTGGTGTTTTTTGGGGAGAATTTTGAATCCCAAGAGGCTTCTGGTGCCATTTGTGGCGATTTTCAACTCTGAGAGGCCTTGGGTGCCACTTTTGGGGGGGATTTTGGACCCTGAGAGACCTTTAATGCCATTTGGGGGGGAGGATTTTGGACCCTGAGAAGCTTTGGGACACATTTTTGGGGGGAAATTTTGGGCCCTGAGAGGCCTTTGGTGCCATTTTGGGGGGGCATTCTGTACCCTGACAAGCGTCGAGACCCGTTTTGAGGGGGGGATTTTGAATCCCAAGAGGCTTTTGGGGGATATATTGGAGCCTGAGAGGCCTTGGGACCTATTTTGGGGGGGATTTTGGACCCTGAGAAGCTTTTAGTACCATTTTGGGGAGAATTTTTGAGCCTGAGAGGCCTTTAGTGCCATTTTGGAGGGGATTTTGGGCCTTAAGAAGCCTTGGGACCCATTTTTGGGTGAAGATTTTGAACCCTGAGAGGCTTTGGGTGCCATTTTCGGGGGGGAATTTTGAACTCTGAGGGTCCTTTTTGGTTCTGTTTGGGGGGGACTTTGAACCCCAAGAGGCTTTTGCTGCCATTTTTAGGGGAGTTTTGAACCCTGAGAGGCCTTGGGCGATGGTTTTTTGGGGAGTTTTGAACCCTGAGAGGCCTTGGGTGATGGTTTTTTGGGGAATTTTGAACCCCGAGAGGCTTTTAGTGCCATTTTTGGGGGAATTTTGAACCCCGAGAGGCCTTGGGCGATGGTTTTTTGGGGAATTTTGAACCCCAAGAGGCTTTTGGTGCCACTTTGGGTTGAAAAATGGGGGGTGAAGGCTGGGGGAACCCCCCCAAACCCCTCACTGTCCCCCCCCTCTCCCTCAGCACCTCCTGGAGCGCTCATGGTACGCCGTCACCGAGACCTGCCTGGCCTTCACCGTCTTCAGGGACGACTTCAGCCCTCGCTTCGTCGCCCTCTTCACCCTCCTCCTCTTCCTCAAGTGCTTCCACTGGTTGGCCGAAGACCGGGTGGACTTTGTGAGTGCTTCCTGGGAACAAAAACGAGCCTAAAAAAGCCTTTTTTGGAGAAAAACCTCAACTTTTTCACTTTTTCTCCACTTTCTCTTGCAGATGGAAAGGAGCCCCAACATCTCCTGGCTCTTCCACTTCCGTATTGTCTGTGAGTATCTTGTTTTTCCCCTCTTGCCCGGCCGCGGCTCGTTAGCGTTTGGCTCGTTACCGTTTGGCTCGTTGCCGGCAGCTGCTCAGGAGAGATAATTTGGGCACCTCATTTGCATACGATGGGGGGAAGAACCTGCTGCAGCCGAGCGTGCGACCATCGGGGCTCGATAAACCTTATCGGGGCGGCCTCGTTAAGGAGGGAGCGCTAACGAGGCTACGGAGGGAGGGGGATGGGGTTGTTGGGGGGGTTTTAACGAGCTCCCACTTTTCCGGGTGGGAAAAATAAGAGGCAAAATATATTCTTGCTTCCGGAGAAGGGGATTTAGGGAGGTAAAAATCATCTTTTGAAGGAATTTGGAGGGGTTTTGGTGAGACACGAGGACACACGACGTGGCTTGAAGCAGAGAGGGCTTCAAACGAGGCAGCCTCGTTAGTGGGATGCGTTAATTCAGCCTTTCATTAGCGCAGAGCCCTGTAGCCCCTCCCTGGAAATCAAATGCTTCTCAAGAATCCTGCTTTTCTGGGTGCAGCCCCTGGAGCTTTAGGTTTTTGGAGGTCTCCCCCCAACTTGGAGGCTCGTTATCTCCTCTCCTCGTTATCTTTTCTCCTCGTTATCTCCTCGTCCTGATTCTTTTCCCCTCCCTGCTGCAGCCCTGATGTTCCTCCTGGGAATCCTGGATTTCCTCTTCGTTAACCACGCCTATCACAGCATCCTCACGCGAGGAGCCTCCGTCCAGCTCGTTTTCGGCTTCGAGGTAGGACACGGAGGTTCCTCAGTGATGGACAAACCTCCACGTCCCTTCCCCAGGATGGACAAACGGCTCCTCGGCCGGTTCCTCACACCCTGCCCTGCTCTTCCTCCCCGCAGTACGCCATCCTCATGACCATGGTCCTCACCATCTTCATCAAATACGTCCTGCACTCCATCGACCTGCAGAACGAGAACCCCTGGGACAGCAAAGCCGTCTACATGCTCTACACGGAGCTCTTCACAGGTACGTTCTCCTCTTCCTCCCCCTTTTTTTCTTCTCATCCCACCTGATTTTGAGGTTTTGGGGGGGCTTTCCCATCTGGGCGTGGTCCGATAAAGCTTGATATGTGGTTATGAAGCTCAATTAGCCATCGATTAATGAAGACATGACGTATGGGTGGTGCTCAGCAGCACCTGAAGGTCTCGTCCATCTTTGTTAATGAACTGGATGATCTCAAGGTGCTTTGTTGGTGGCACCAAACCAAGAGGAGTTGGCTGAGTCTCCACAAGGTCACACCACTATCCAGATAGACCTTTTCCAGCTGGAGAAATGGTTCAAGGAGAACCTCATGAGGTTCAGTGAAGGGATGGGCCAAGTTCAACAACGCCCAGCACCAATATATGCTGGGCAATGGTTGAACTGGGGGTTCTGGTGGACACCAGGTTGAGCACAAGTCAACAATGAGGGCCAACGATGTCCTGAGAAGGTTTCCAGCAGGTTGAGGGAGGTGATTAAAGGGTGGTGAGGCCACACCTGGAGACCTGAATCCACTTCTGGGCTCCCCAGTCCAAGAGAGACTGGGACATAGTGGAGAATGTCCAACAAAGGGCCATCAATGTGGTGAAGGGACTGGAGAGGCTCAGAAAGCTGGGACTGGTTGCTCCATCCTTGGAGATACTCCAAAGTTGTTGGGTCCTGGTCTTGGAGAAGCAGCTCTTGGTGACCTTGGAGGTCCTGTTGCTCCTCAACCAACCTGTGGTTGTCCAAGGATGGGACCAGATGACCTTGGAGGTCCCATCCCACCTCAACCAACCTGTGGTTGCCCAAGAACATGTTGACTACATGACCTTAGAGGTCCCATCCCACCTCAACCAACCTGTGGTTGCCCAAGAACATGTTGACTACATGACCTTAGAGGTCCCATCCCACCTCAACCAACCTGTGGTTGCCCAAGAACATGTTGACTACATGACCTTAGAGGTCCCATCCCACCTCAACCAACCTGTGGTTGCCCAAGAACATGTTGACTACATGACCTTAGAGGTCCCATCCCACCTCAACCAACCTGTGGCTGCCCAAGAACAAGACCCTGATGTTCTTCTTTTCCCCAGGCTTCATCAAAGTCCTCCTCTACATGGCCTTCATGACCATCATGATCAAAGTCCACACCTTCCCGCTCTTTGCCATCCGCCCCATGTACCTGGCCATGAGGTGAGTTGACTTTGGCACGTTCTCCGGTGCTGCCACGACGTGGACTTCATCCCACCAGTTCCTTGTCTCCTTCCAGGCAGTTCAAGAAAGCGGTGACGGACGCCATCATGTCCCGCCGGGCCATTCGCAACATGAACACGCTGTGAGTAACGCAACGAACGCCCTTTTCCACCCCTTCTTGGACATTTCACCACCATCAGTATCTCCTCGGTGGTTGCTTTGTTGCTTTTGAGGTGGAATCCACCTAAAAAAGACCCAAATTTGAAGAAAAGGCCTCATTTGCCACATGGGAAAGAGGTTGAGTAGGACCTGTAGGGTGATGGTGTCATTGATATCTCAAGCTCCTCCTGCCAAATACTTGCATTTAACCAAAAATCTGGTGGATGATGGCGAGGAGAAAAGGTTGGGGGGTGGTTGGGAGGACCTAGAAGTCCCGTTGCCTTCTCATGTCTCCCTTGAAGCCCTAAAATGGTGGGAAAATGCATTTTTTTATGGTGTTTCTCACCAAATTCCCCTCCTGGTGCAGCTACCCCGACGCCACGCCGGAAGAGCTCCAGGCCATGGACAACGTCTGCATCATCTGCCGCGAGGAGATGGTGACGGGCGCCAAACGGCTGCCGTGTAACCACATCTTCCACACCAGGTGGGTTCTCCCTCCTCACCCCATAATTTTGGCATTTCTAGCTTTTGGTTTTTTTTTGGTCTTCCCAGTTGGGTGGTGGGGACACACCAGTTCCTCTTGCTGGTGGGTCTTTGCCATCAAGGATGTCCCCTCTCCTCCCCAGCTGCCTGCGGTCGTGGTTCCAGCGCCAGCAGACGTGTCCCACCTGTCGCATGGACGTTCTCCGGGCTTCCCTCCCAACACAACCTCCTCCTGACCCACCAGAGCCAGCCCCACAGCCCCCCCAGACCCCCCAGGTCCCTCAGCCCCCCAACTGTGAGTCTTCTTTGGGTCCTTCCATGGTAGAACCGGTGCCACCAACCACCGGTGACCCGTTACCGGCGGAACAATGAGGGTTTTGGGGTTGGGGTGTGACATCCCCTGGGGGGTGGCAGCTCTCACCACCACCCTCTTCTTCTTCCTCCCCAGTTCCCCAGGGGATCCTCCCCCCATTCCCACCAGGAATGTTTCCCTTCTGGCCACCGGTCGGTCCCTTCCCACCAGTTCCCGGTGTCCAACCCCCCAACGGCGCCGAAAACGCCGCATCGAGCTCCGGCGCCGCGTCGGGTGAGTGTTCTCCACCCCCCACCAAAAAAAATCCATGGGGTTGGTGCTACCAAAACTGGGTGGGCTCCTTCCTCCCTCCTCCTCCTCCTCCTCCTCCTCACATCCCTCTTGTCCCCGCAGCCCCCAGACCCGGTGACGCCGCCAACGCCGGATCGGAAGCGGCGGCGGGGACGGTGCCGGCGTTTCCCTTCCCCCCTCCCTGGATGGGGATGCCGTGGCCACCTCTTTTCGGTAAGAAAAAAGCAAAGATTTTTATATTTTGGGGGGGTTTTACACCCCAAAAACGTGGGGTTCACCCCCTTCTCTCCTCAGGTTTCCCCCCGATGCCGGTGCCGCCGGCGGGTTTTGCCGGATTAACGGAGGAAGAGCTTCGGGCCATGGAAGGGCACGAACGGCAGAACCTGGAAGCGCGGTTACAGTGTCTGCAGAACATCCACACCCTCCTGGACGCTGCCATGGTCCAGATCAACCAGTACCTGACCGTCCTGGCCACCATCGGGTAACTGGGAAGGGGGTTTGGGGGGGGTTTGAGCCAACGGGGCAAAATCCCAGTTACAGCAAAGCCACCAAAACCCCACAAAAATGGCTTAAAAATTGCTTTAAAAATGCTTAAAAATTGAGTTTGGTGATTAATGTTCCAGATCGACCAGTACCTGATGGTCCTGGCCACCACTGGGTAACTGGGAAGGGGGCTTGGGGGGGTTCAGAGCCAACTGGAAAGATCCTGGTTACAGCAAAGCCCCAAAACCCACTAAATTGCTTAAAAATAGCTTAAAAATGGAATTTATTGATTAATTTTCCAGATCAACCAGTACCTGATGGTCCTGGCCACCACTGGGTAACTGGGAAGGGGGTTTGGGGGGGTTTTGAGCCAACGGGGCAAAATCCCAGTTACAGCAAAGCCACCAAAACCCCACAAAAATGGCTTAAAAATTGCTTTAAAATGGCTTAAAAATTGGATTTGGTGATTAATGTTCCAGGTCAACCAGTACCTGATGGTCCTGGCCACCACTGGGAACTGATTTTGGTTACTGGGAAGGGGGTTTGGGGGGGTTCGGAGCCAACTGGAAAAATCCCGGTTACAGCAAAGCCCCAAAACCCCACTAAAATGGCTTAAAAATTGCTTTAAAATAGCTTAAAAATGGAATTTATGGATTAATGTTCCAGATCGACCAGTACCTGATGGTCCTGGCCACCATTGGGTAACTGGGAAGGGGGTTTGGGGGGGGTTCAGAGCCAACTGGAAAGATCCTGGTTACAGCAAAGCCCCAAAACCCACTAAATTGCTTAAAAATAGCTTAAAAATGGAATTTATTGATTAATATTCCAGATCGACCAGTACCTGGTGGTCCTGGCCACCACTGGGTAACTGGGAAGGGGGTTTGGGGGGGTTTTGAGCCAACGGGGCAAAATCCCAGTTACAGCAAAGCCACCAAAACCCCACAAAAATGGCTTAAAAATTGCTTTAAAATAGCTTAAAAATGGAATTTATTGATTAATATTCCAGATCGACCAGTACCTGATGGTCCTGGCCACCACTGGGAACTGATTTTGGTTACTGGGAAGGGGGTTTGGGGGGGTTCGGAGCCAACTGGAAAAATCCCGGTTACAGCAAAGCCCCAAAACCCCACTAAAATGGCTTAAAAATTGCTTTAAAATAGCTTAAAAATGGAATTTATGGATTAATGTTCCAGATCGACCAGTACCTGATGGTCCTGGCCACCATTGGGTAACTGGGAAGGGGGTTTGGGGGGGGTTCAGAGCCAACTGGAAAGATCCTGGTTACAGCAAAGCCCCAAAACCGCACAAAAATGGCTTAAAAATGGCTTTAAAATGGCTTAAAGATTGGATTTGGTGATTAATGTTCCAGATCGACCAGTACCTGATGGTCCTGGCCACCATTGGGTAACTGGTTTTGGTTACTGGGGAGGGTTTTGGGGGGGGTTCAGAGCCAACGGGGCAAAATCCTACTTAAAGCAAAGCCCCCCAAACCCACTAAATTGCTTAAAAATAGCTTAAAAATGGAATTTATTGATTAATATTCCAGATCGACCAGTACCTGGTGGTCCTGGCCACCACTGGGTAACTGGGTTTGGTTACTGGGGAGGGGGTTTGGGGGGGATTTAGAGCCAACAGGGCAAAATCCTGGTTATGGCAAAACCCAAAACACTCACTGAAATTGCTAAAAAATTGAATTTATTAATTTTCTCCTCACAGGACACCCCGACCCACCGCTCCCCGACCCCCCACTGAGGAACCCACCCCCCTGCGCCCCCCAAGTGGCCCCACGGCCTCCGGCTCCACCGCGGCCACCGGTGAGTGGGGAGCAAAAAACCACCTTTAAACCCCAAATTTCCCATTAATTCCCCCAAATTTTTTACTGGGGGCAAACCCCCACTCCCAGTCCTGCTGGCTCTTCAAACTGGGTTTACCGGTTTGGCTAAATTAGTGCTTTTTTCCCCCTGTTTTGCCCAGACCCCCCCGCGCCGGGGGGCGCCGAAGGCTTGGCCCAGGAGGAGGAAGAGGAGGAGGAAGACGACGGCGGCGCCGAAGGCTCCTCTTCGCTGGACGAACCCGACACGGCCGAGCTTCGGCGCCGACGGCTCCAGAAACTGGCGGCGCCTCCCTCGGACTCACAATGACATCACCAACACCATTTTGGGGCCGTTTGGGGTGTTTTTTGGACCCTCGGGCACCACCAGCCGGATGGATTTATTATTTTTTTTTCCTGCCTTTTTCCCCCTTATTTTCCACCAAAAAAAACCCTTCTGGAAGCAAAAACCGGTCCCCGGCAGCGCCGCCAAAACATTCCCAGCCCCTTTGCCGCGGCACCATGGCAAAAAAAATGAATTTCTTGACTCCTTTTGCCCCGTTTTTCCCCCTTTTCACCCCAATTCTCTACCTCTCCAGCGATGGCCTGTTTTGGGGTAATTCTGCCCATTTTTGGGGTCACCCAGCCCCCCTTTTCGGCGCCGTAATTAAGGACGGGGCGTTTGTTTGATGGCGGTGACCGAGCGGCTCCTGGCGCTGCTTGAAATTGCTCAAAATCACCCGTTTTTCACCCAAAATCTTCTCTGGGTGTTTCCCGCTGCGGAAATGGGGGGGGGGATCAAAGCAGCCCCTCCCAATCGCCACTGGGGGGGGGCAGGGATTTTTGGGGGGCACCCCCCTGGCTTTC